TATATATATATATTATATAGATATATATATATATATATATATATATATATATATATATATATATATATATATATATATATATATATATATATATATATATATATATAATATATATATATATATATATATATATATATATATATATAATATATATATATATATATATATATATATATATATATATATATATATATATATATATATATATATATATATATATATATATATATATATATATATATATATATATATATATATATATATATATATATATATATATATATATATATATATATATATATATATATATATATATATATATATATATATATATATATATATATATATATATATATATATATATATATATATATATATATATATATATATAATATATATATATATATATATATATATATATATATATATATATATATATATATATATATATATATATATATATATATATATATATATATATATATATATAAATATATATATATATAATATATATATATATATATATATATATATATATATATATATATATATATATATATATATATATATATATATATATATCTATATAATACTGCTATTTCATTATGAGATTAAAAATTAATGTTATCGATGAATTTTCATTTAGCCATACTTAATCAGCTACAGATTGGCACAAAAATGTCACTGGTACATAAAACATGACACAAATTCAGCTAACATGGCAAAGTTTGGTTCTATTGAGAGTTTTTGGCAATTCTTAAATAGATGCAATTCAAATAATTATTTAAAGATAAAACAAATAATTCATATATAACTAGACTAGTGATGTTTACCAACTAGAAACCAAAATCAGATATTGCCTGAAAAAAATGGATGTCGAGGATGGACAAGCATTAATTTTATCAACACACAAAAGGCAAGATCAAATATGCTAGTATAAAAATAACTGACTTTAATAATTTGACACTTTGACTTTAATAATATATGGTATATAATATTAATTTGTATGCAATAACTTTTATAACATAAAAAATTTACTTACTTTGCCACTCTCAGTAAGAATAGAAATGCGAACATTACATGATGATATCTTGACAATTTTTTCATTATCAGTTAAATTCATATCAGCAGCTCGTGGATGAACATGGCCAGTTATTTCTGTTACAGGGGACTCAGGATCTGCCCATCGCCATCTATGTAAAAAACCATTTTCTGTAACAGCAAGCAGTTCAGAGTGCAAAGATGCAATTTGAGAAAACTTTATGGAATCATCACTTTCATCCTAAAAATAAATAATAAGTAGATACACTTAGATTCATTCAAATACAAATTTTTGTAAAAAACACAAGTTTTATTTTATGTAAACCCTTTACCTTGAATCTCCACCATTGGATTTCCCCAAAACGCTGCGATGTTTCAACATTTGATGTAGCTTTCCTAGATTTTTGTTGTGTTGTAGGTTTGGAGGAGGAACGTTGCTTGGTGTCATCTTTCATAATCATTCCCCACCAACGATCACGTAACCGAGATGATGCCATATCTCTCCCTTCCCTGTTATTTGTAGCACTGAATGTTTGTCAAAAAAAAATCCTTTACTAAAAATTTCCCCTCCGAAACTATCTTTAAAGTAAGATGCATACATGAAATCCTCACAAATTTTAACTGATTAAAATCTAATATAATAATATATAATATAATAATAAATAATTATATAAAATAAAAAATAAAAGAACACACCCCTATTACTTACAATTGTTTTCTGATTTTTGGCTTTAGATTTAATATTGAGATAAGAAAAGACTCTTATTCTATGGAGATAATCTCTTATGAACTGACCTTATTTATAATAAGCATTTATAATACTTATTTGACTATTAGTGACACAAAAATGACATAAAAAAATCTATAATATCTTGTGCTATAATGTATAAAAGTAACTTGTTAAGATGGGCAGGATGGTTACAAGAAAACATTAATTAGGGTGGTCCTCAGGAGTATTTTTATAAAAAAAGTGTATTATGATTCTCTTAACATATCTACATTTGAGGCTTGGACATACAAACCGATGACTGTGATGGACAAAAACAGATTTTCAGTTGACAGTACCACTCCTTTTGCATTTATATAGCAACTTCTTAGAAATATTGCGGGCCCAAAAAAAACTTGGAAAAAATTACAGTGGTTATAACAGAACAGAATTGTAAATCTCCTAAATAAACTCCTAAAATCAAAATATTGTTCTGAGCAACATATTTACTGCTTTTTTTTGGTAATACAGACCTTTTACTTGGTGGAGCACTAAAAATAGGCCAGTTCAAGAAAATCAAAAAACGGGGCACAAATGGAACAGATAAATTAGCAACTAACTTAAAAAAACTGTTTAACAGTGTTACCAATATTTTCAAGAAGGATAATAGTGACATTTTAAAATGAAGGGAATTACTGGGGAAAAGAATAAATACTTAATTACTTATAATAATTACTAGGAAAATGAAAATTATATAGAACTAGGTCTAGTCTTCCTTGAAGAAGACTCAACATAAACTGAAACTATGCTCAAGATTGATTCACATTAATTTATGTTATGTGAGCATGTGAAATTTATAAGTGGTCAAAACAGTGCAGAAAGTAGAATTGCCTAATAAAAAGGGCAAAGGACAAAGACCAAAAACATTTCCTGTACTGTTTTGTTCTATAGCCACTACCACCTGAGTTCGTATAAAACTAAATTGACATTAATGTGCAAGAAGACAAAAGTATTGTAAAGTGCTATGAAAAGGTAATTAACCACATTCACTGTCATAAAATTACATTGCATATATATATATATATATATATATATATATATATATATATATACATGCAATTTATTTATATTTATTTTATTTAATACTTATAAAATACTTATAATTAATAAACCTACTTGTTTTCACTGCTTTGAGTACGATTAGTTGTATGATATGCTTCCCCTCTTGTGTACAATGGATTCAAAAGAATATCTTCAGGAAAAAGGGGATCTCTTTGAACTACAAAAGGCTCTTCACTTGGAATACCAGCTTCAAATATTGAAATTAAGTCATCTAAAATTATTCAATAAATTAATACAAAAATTAACAATTTTTAATAATTATCTGTAAATAAAAAAAATTACCATTGGGCAAGTAAGCCTCTTGTATATAGCTATCTTCGTTATCATCATCAGGATCATCATCATCACGAGAGAGAAGATTATTTACAGCAAGATTTACATCTAGGCTTGTTTTTTGTAATTCACGAATTATTACTTGTCGAGATTTACCTTGTAATACAACTTGCGCCTAAAAGTTATCAATTTAATTATGTAAGTTATTTTTCTGGCAATTTACCATAATGTTGTATAACAAAAGAAATAAAAGTGTAATAACAAAGTGAAGATATTTTATTTACGTAAAATAAATATTTACTTGTGCAATTAAATCTTCAGGTACAGCAGAAGCTGGTAAAAGAGCTCTACTAGTACTCCCTAACCAGCCAGTACCAATTCTTCCACGAGTAGCTCTAATGATACGTCCACGACCTCTCACAGATGCTACTCTACTTGCAAGTGATGTTATAGTACCCGTTGAGCTTGTTGATGCAGTACTTATTCGCTGTGATGTCCAACGACTGCAATATTAAAACTAATTTTTGATGGAAATATTTAACCAAACACAGAAACTTGTTTACAAAACATTGTTTGTAAACATTATTACATATTGCTTTATTAACTTAGGATTGCAACATGCAAGATTTCAAAACAATGAAAACTAAATAGACACATGGCCTACTATAGTGACCGGCTGAGGCTTAAAAAAAACTGTAGGCAAGTTTTTTTTATAAATTTCAAATTTTTAAATAATTTGTAATATGGCGCATTTCAGAATAAGGTCTTTTAATTTAATATGCAATACGTTTTAATTTTATGTATATTAAATTTGATTTCTTTTTAGAGCTAAATAATTAGATTTTATGAATAAGGTTTTTTAAGTTTTGTGTTACTGGGTGCAGAGGTAACTTCGATGTTACAAAGCCTGTGAAAGTTTTTTGCTATCCAAATAAAAAAATATGTATGAATGAAAAAGATGGATAAGTGCTATACCTCGAGATAATATTCCAGATAGCCTAAATACTTTTATTTGTGAAGATCATTGGCCTAAAGACTTGAAACAAGTTTTAGTTTGTGGAGAGTTAAGACCAAAACATCCACCATCTGTATTTTTCTTGTTTAAATCCATGTCAAATCCAACTCCACTTGCACCACCAAGACCAAATACTAATCATTAAGAAGTACTTTGCCTTATGAAATGGATGTTTTTGTGAAGGCAGTTATTATTTCTTCTTTCTAAGATTTGTGTAATTTAATGTCTAAAACTATATAATTTTCCTCCTCAATAATACCAAAAATATCTATAAAAACTGTTTACATCTTCAATCTCCTGATATATTGAAGATATATTGGATAACTTGGGTGTTCCAAAGTTTATTTTGAAAATAAAAAATGATTTATCCTTTGATAGCTATCACTGTGGTATTTAGTGCGCAACCTTTTTCTTACAATTATATGAATATTATTGATTGTTTTAGTAGTCTCCATGCTGCAATATACCATCTGAATTCTTTACCAATCGCTTAAAGTTTATTGGTGAAAAAAAGTATTCTCCTGATATGGTTGCTAGGGTATTTCAGTACTTTTCATTGTCAAGTACTCTTAACTCTTGATTAGGTGATGACTATGAACTACCAAGTATCTTTGATGACAAACTTACAAGTTGGTGAAATTACTACCAAGTATCTTTGATGGCAAAGTTGATATTCTAAAATTAGAAATGTTGGAGACGATGGTTTTTTAAAGTTGTATTTTGACAAATGTTTTATTTCTCTAAGACAGGTTATTCTACTTATTGATGAAATTTATGTTAAACCACAGTTAACATATCAAGGAGGTAACATTTTTGGTAAATCTGTTAATTCCCAAAATGAATTAGCAAAAACAGTTTTGAGTTTAGCAATTTTTTCTTTATTTGGTGGAAAACAGTTTTTGTAAAAAGCATTACCTTTGTGACAATAACAAAATAAATGAAAGGTTTTTTGGAATAGTTTTTGCAGTAATGATAACATTTTCCTTCTATATGACTTTGTTCATTTAATAAAATCTCTTCGCAGCAATTGGCTCACAAAAAAATCTTATTTTTTGTGAGCTAATTGTTTTACTATTAATAGCCAAGAACTATTTTTTACTTACTAAGGTATTTCAAGAACTGCAAAATAGTTAAATCTTATAAAACTTTTTCAATTTGAAAAAGATGCTATTGTAAAATTGTTTAAACTTAATGAAAATGCGATTTTTCCTACACCAATTGAAAAAAATTGAATACTTTGTGATGAGACTGTAGCTGTTTTAAAAATTCAACAATCCATAAAAAATGTTGGCAACACCAAAGTGTTTTTATCAAATTTTTTAAAATTATTAATCTTAAAGGATTTAATGAAGATATTTGTACCAGAGATAAATATCATCCTACTTTTTCATCGAACAATGATAAACTATTAAACTTTCTTTTAAAATTGGCTGATTTGGTTGAAAAAATAGCTCCTAACTTTGGCAAGGATCAAGTGGTATCTATTTTATAAATGTTTAGCAAATATTACAAAAAGTTGACATTAAAAAAACAAAACTTTGTCTAAATATTGGTATTGTTGCTAATGATTCAGAAGTCTCATTAAGCCATTTCAGGGCGACCACACTTTTTTTTGAGTTAAAAAATTAAAAGAATCTAGGAGATTTTAAAAGATTTTTTAGGAGATTTTACCGAAAATTTGGAAAAATATGGAAAAATAAACAAAAAATATTAAGATTATTTAGGACAATTTTAAATTTTAATATTATTCCAAAATTTTAATAAAAATTTTGAAAGTTTAAGTTGAATCTTCGAAAGAAAACTTGAAAGTTTCAAAAGCTAGTATTTTATGAGTAACTTTTATGAGTACTTTTGAAATTCAAGTATATTTTTGGAGAATTTAGGTCTTTTTAGGTTTTTTCAAATATTAATAATTTCAAATATTAGGATATTTTAGGATTTATTAAAAGGCGTGGCCACCTTGCATTGTCAATAACAAAAACCCTCCAGTTGAAGATATATCATTTTGTTTTGGCCAGATTGTATCAGAGAGAATAATTGTGGTGGTTTAAGTTTGCTTGGATATAAAATTTGCCATGGAATATTTTATTTATACATTTTATTTCAACATATGTACACATTTGTCTGTCGTGTTAGCTTACTTAACTGCTTTTTGATGGTATCTGACTTTTATGGATTTACCAATGTTTCAAAAAATATTGTAGAATCCTGGCTAATATATTTTTAACAATTATTAACATCTTTATTCCCTGCAATTTCAAACAACCCCCAAATAAAAATTTTGAAAAATCTTAAATGTAAAATATATATCAGGGGTGTTAGCCAGCCTGATGGCACCGCATATAACGCAGTATTCCCAATTGGTTTAAAATTTCCAAAGGTTCATAAGATAATAGTTAAAAAAAATTAAAGCAGTCTCAGATTTAAAGTGTCGCACTAGACAAGTAAAAACTGCAATTAGTACGCACGATGAGGAAAAGAATTATGTTGATCAATTCTTTTTATCTTTAAAAACGTGTTGTCATCAACAACAAGCGTTATTATTAAGATCATTTATTCAAAAGTTGAAAAAAACTTTTTTTTTTAATTTTTATTGACGTCAGTTATTCTCTAATTAAGATTTTTCAATATGTTTTATAAATTATTCTATTAATTTATTTTTATTATTCAAAAACTCTTTATTTACATATTTTCTGTTTATCTTAAGTTAGGAAAGTTACAAAGAATTTGCATATTAATAAAACTTTAAAATAAGTTAATAACATTTTTATTATAAAAGATTTATTAATACTTTTGGTAAAGTAAATTAGCTGGTAAAACCAAAAATAACAACAACAAAAAAATCAAAAATAAAACTTGCAATGAAACGTATTATCTGTTATATTTGCGTAACACATAAAAAAGATTAAATAATATTAAAGTATCATTAATTATAAACCAATATTTATAAATACAAAAATAATTTTTTTTTTAATATACAAATACAAAATATATATATACAAAATTTAGTTGTAAGTCATTTTTAGTTTTTAGTGCCGCTTCAAGGCAGTGAGGTATTCGCTTTTTGCAAGGTTTTTTAAACCTTGACTATAGTAAGGGTTTAAAAAATCACATACCTCACATCCTTGAGGCAGCACTTTTTTAAACATTAGGGTTGCCAATTGTTTGGTTTTTACAAAATAGAATACAAACCTATAAAAATATTTTTTTTACTGTGTTTTCCTTCGTAAAAGCCAGAATTCCGGCAATCCTACATATAATATATTGTGTTTTTAGCAAAGGTTGTCAATTAAAGTTGCTTTAGCAATTTGAAAAGTAACAAGAGAATCGTGGAAATCATCAAAAATGTTTTGTTAAATATTAAATAATATTTAGTTTGTTTTTTTACTTTTTACATTTGTAATTTAAAAATGAAAATGAAAATAAAAAAAGACAATATTTGTAACTAATCGAATAAATCTTTTGAAACTGTATTTAAAAGCAATGTACACAATTAAAATAGATCAAAGTTTCAATGATTAAATGTAATAACTCATTCATTAAAACAATTGTCTTTTGTTCTTGTTTTCTTTCTACTTTATCAAACAAAGTAGAGAAGCGATTTAAAAATGAAGATTGTTCAAAATGAATCAAGTTGAATAATTAGAATTAAACATTTATAAAGTAAAAAAATATTTCTGCTATGATTATAACCCGCAAAAAAAAATTATTTTGATTGAAACTTTATTGTAGGTAAAAGATATTAAATTTATCTACGTTTTTAAATGTCAGAATGTAATGACCTTTTTTTTTTTTTCCTAACTTCGCAAAAATGCTGTATGAATTTTTTTCCTGGCTAACACCCTGTGTATATATATATATATACATACATACATACATACATACATACATACATACATACATACATACATACATACATACATACATACATACATACATACATACATACATACATACATACATACATACATACATTACATACATACATACATACATACATACATACATACATACATACATACATACATACATACATACATACATACATACATACATACATACATACATACATACATACATACATACATACATACATACATACATACATACATACATACATATATTACCTAATTGTAGTTATATTTTGAAAAGTTTTTTTTATCTTAAAAGTTTTAGAGTTTTTTGCACAATAAAATAAGAGTTTTTACTATATTATATCTAATGAAATGTGGTTTGCATTCAATATAGAATTTTTTCATTTCGGATGTTGAATTTGTTTATTTGTTACAAAAATCTTTATTTATGACTTTTATATAACTCATTATTTATTAAAAAATAATAATAATAAATGCTTCTATTAAAAAAAACTTGTTGACAGTTTTTTACAAGGCTGTAATTTTATTGGACCTGTCACTATTATACGCCATGAGCAAACACAATAAAATCTTACCTAAGCTGATTAGATAAACTGCTAAGTGTTTCTCCAGAAAGACTGAAGGAGATATCAGTACGAGAATTTAAAGCTTCTTCTAAAAAGTTAAAAATCAGTAGTTTTGAAAAAAAAAAGATTTTAAGAATAATCAAGGGTAGTATATAACAAGTTTTGTTAAATGTGATTGAATCCCATTTATATATATTATATGTTTATTTATTCATAAGTTATTAAAAATTTACTGCTTTAAGCCTTTTATCTACTAAAATTTATTTTTTGCTATAGTTTCGGCTGTCCAATTTTTAAAACTGGTCACAATCATAATTGAGTCTTAAATCTTTTTTTTTTTTTTTTTTTTTTTTTTTGAAAAAATGAAAGTAAAAAAATCAAAGTCCAAACAATGTTTGGCATTTGACTTTTTTACTTTCATTTTTTACTTACTTTAATGGAATTTTAAAGAAATCAACACTAAAATATTTACCCGCATTTGAAGTTGAAGAAGACACCGGGGTTTTGTTAATGGATACTGGAACAGGCATTTCTTCATCACTGCTGTAAAAAAAAAAAACTAGTATATATTAAAAAACATGAGAAAATTTCAGAAAAAATTTTAATCAAAAATAAACTTAAATAAAATTTTATTTTTGTATTATCTTAGGGACAACTGAATAAGTGTAAATCAGCATAGGAGCAAACTGGCACAAGTGCACCGAAAGAATTTGCAAACCTTGGCATAAGTGCCAATCGACATAAGTACGAATCAGTAGTAAAAACTAGCATAAGTGCAAATTAGCATAAATGCAAATCGGCATAAATGTGCCAAAAGAATTAACAATTATTGGCATAAGTGTGAACTGGCATAATTGCAAACTGATATAAGTGCGAAATGCCAAAATTGGCACTTATGTTAATATTTTTAATTAATTCAACGCATTATGCCTATTTGCACTTATGCCAGTTTGCACTTATGCCAATGTTTCCAAATTAATTCAGCCCATTCATACCAACTTGCACTTATGTCCATTTGCATTTATTCCAGTTTTTCCAACTGCTTTAATTTGCACTTATGAAATTTGCATTTATTCAGCCTCCCAAAAGATTATAAAATATATATTATAGTATGTTTAACCCTTATGAATATATAAAAAAATTAAATGTTTTATATAAATCTAAATTTGAAAGACTTTTTAAATAAGGCTAAATAAATTGTAAAGTAACCTTGGTTCCTTTTGTTTGTAAAATTTTGCAGATTCACTGACTATATGAAAGGCAACTCTACATACGCGACCATCCTAATTAAATAAAATAAGTGTGTATGTAATATATATAAATACATATAACATATGCATAGATAAGCTAACATACATAACATACATAATAGATACACATAATGAACATGTATAAACAACGGAAAAATAAACAAAGACTTAATAAAGTAATTAAAATATCTTGTTGAAAAACTATAATTAAATCAATAGGTTAGGGTATAGCATGGTGTTACATTTTTGCCACACCCTAACCCTTCTGGTTATCTGAACTCTAGTTAGAGTGAAGCTATATATTATCTATCTACAAAAAAAAATCACAGCAAAAAAAATGCTTTTAAATCATTGTTTTTTATTAAATTGTCTTTTTCTGAAAAATTATTTACATTTAAAGAACTAACTTAAAGAATATGATAAAAATCCTGTTGCATCAACCTAAAATATCTAAAAACCACTTAATGTATACTAACACTCATAAGAAATGCTAAATGATTTGGTCCTACAACACATTGCACAATCATAGATGCATCTAGTTCAGGCAAATTAGTTCCCCTGGAAGAAAAAAAAAACATTGCATTGCTACTTTATATAAATTTTCAAAAGTGCTTTAAATACAAAATTATTATATATGTATATATATACATATATATAAATATATACATATATATATATATATATATTTATATATATATATTATATATATATATATATATATATATATATATATATATATATATATATGTATATGTATATGTATATATATATATATAGGTATACATACACGCATACACACACGCATATATATATATATATATATATATATATATATATATAATATATATATATATATATATATATATATATATATATATAATAAATATATATATATATATAATAAATATATATATATATAATATATATATATATATATATATATATATATATATATATATATATATATATAATAATAAATATATATATATATATAATAAATATATATATATATAATATATATATATATATATATATATATATATATATATTATATATATATATATATATATATATATATATATATATATATATATATATATATACATTATGTATATATAATATATTGCCAACCTTAAACTGTTAGAGATTGGCATTAGGTTGGCAAAAAAAATTAGACACAAACAGGTTAACATTTTAGGTCAGCAATTTTTTGTCAGCCTCAAACACTACATAAATATGTATGTACATGTAATGACGTATTTTTAACGTAGTTGTGTGTACAACTTCATTTTCCGTTTTGTATAAAAAATAAAAAGTTCAAAAAATGAAGTTTATATACACTACTGAATTTATTAATAATTTTGGTACAACTGATTATAAAATAAATACACACAAAATATATATAATACACACAAAATATACACACAAATAATTATACACACATAATTATACACACATATATAATATAATTATACACACATATATAATAATACACACAATAAATACACACAAAATATATATATATATATATATATATATATATATATATATATATATATATATATATATATATATATATATATATATATATATATATATATATATATATATATATATATATATATATATATATATATATATATATATATATATATATATATATATATATATATATATATATATATATATAATCAGATTCAGAATTAATAAGAAAAAATAAGATAAAAAAATTAAGAAATGTGGTAGAAGTGATATAGAAGCTTTGTAAGTGAGGAATTCTGAGTTTAATCCAGAACACATTGAAGCTTTGTTATCTGGTAGTAAAAATGTATTAAAGTTGAATTAATGTACCAAAAATGACTTAATATCGATGCAATAACTATCTTTAGAGATTTTAAGCTGAGAAAGCATCTTTTTGAAAGTGCCTTTAATTTATTTTTTTTTTATCACTAAGTATGATTTATTAATTTAGCACTTTTTAATTTTTAATAACTTGAACTAAATTAAAAATATTTATTCAGTTCAGTTTGCTTAACTTTTTCAAATTCATACCACAAGCAATACAAATGTACCGAAACTTTATTCTTAGGTTTCACTAAAGATATGTGTTGAATAGGAGTAGTACAGAACTTGAATATCTAACTAAACAGGTGCAGATTATGTTACTAAATTGGTGAACTATATTTTTTTTGGAGATAGTATATAATAATGTCTACTGTAATCTTTTCTGATTGATGTAATGATAGTGAGGTTTCTTGATAGTTAAGATTTCATTTAAAAGTTGAAATGTAACAAAATAAAACTGTTACTAGAGGTCAACTGAACTATTGCTATTTTATTTATTTGCTATTGGAATTAAGTTTACATATACTTCCTTTATATGATAATAACTTATATGATAAATTTTTTTATATTACAACAAATGCAATTTTAGCATTATTTTTATTTTATTTATTTTTTATGATTTTGTTTCATTTTAATTACTTAATTTTATTTTTGATTGTGTTGCTTCCAATACTCGAGAAGTTTAGATTTGCATGATTTTGTTGTAAAATATCTTAATATTAGCTTGACAATTTTACATTTTAAGTCTAATGACAACCAAGAAGAACTGAGGCCTTTAACTATTGGAAAGAGTTTCAGGCCATCACAATTTCGTTTTTCAATTTTCATTTCAGGCCATCACAATTTGGAATAATTACAAACTTGTAATTATTCAAAACTTGTAGTTTATAAGCTCATTTGTAATTTATAAGCTCATTTGTCGTTGATGTTCAACTAAGAAGTGAGTGACAGATTGTGGTTGATGTTTAACTAAGGAGTGACAGTTCATGGTTGATGTTTAACAAATCAACAAGTTAGTAAAATTTAGTTTACAAATAATTATAATTTGTTCTCAAAAATTTTTAAATTTAGAAATTATGAATGTTAGAAATTATATAATAAAAATAAAAAAATAAAGGTTATTCAACATACCAGTTAGATACATTTGTTTTCGACTTCACTAGTTCCTTTAATCTAAAATAAATTCAAATTAATTTTTTAATTTTATTATTACATGAATGAAAATGTAAAATTACATGTTTAAAAAAAGTTTTATTTTGAATTCTTAGTAGTTTGAAACCATTTAAAAATTAGTCTTAATTTTTAGCGGTAAGCGGAAGACTTAAAAGTCTTTTGCTTACCGCTTAACTTTTCAATTAACTCTTCTTTTTTAATATTATAAAAAGAATAAGAAGATAAAATAACTATTATAAATATAAAAAAAATAAGATAAATATAATATGAATAAGATTTAAATGATGATTAAAATATTATAACAAAAGAATATTTCATTTTAACTATGCATATAAAATATATTAGACAGTTGTAACAATTTGTACATCTAAATCGGAAAGAGATTTTAATATGTAAACTTCAACTTGAAAAATTACAGCCTAACTTTTATGCATATACTAACAATAGTGTCATGGCAAGTGAGTCTGGCTCTCCAAAAAAAAAAAAAAAAAAAAAACTAGCCATTAGGGCCATAATTTTTTTTTTAAGTATATAAAGTTTACAGATTACCCCGAAACAGCTGGGTTCTTTTACATTGCCGCTCATAAGACTAAAAAAATCAAATTAACACTTAAATTCAATTAAATATATTTTATAACTGTTAAATTGTTATAAAGTTTACTAGTGAAGAGTTTCTTTAACTACTGTATATGTATTATGCAGATAATACAAGTACATCTGAAGACCATCAAAAAAACAGTTTGCAAAGAGTTTTATTAAACTCATTTATATTGCCTTCATGACTTAATTTCCTTGCAATTTTGCTTTCAATCGACAAGATTGCTAAGGAATGCATTTGCAATTACTTTAAAAGAAACCATGCTAAATGATTGCTTTCTTTAAAAGCGTGTTGTTTTTTTTATTTTATTATTGTTATATATATTAAATATATATATATATTTTTAATATATATAACAATAATAAAATAAAAAAAGTTTTTTTAAAGTTTTGAAAATTTTTTTTATAATTTGTACTAATATATATAAATTAATAGAATATTTAGAACTATTATGTTTATTATAGTTTTCATATTTTACTGTGCGTTTAACAACTCCAACAATATGATATTTTATTATTAAATACTTAATATTATTATAAAAATAATAATATCATATTTAATAACTTAATATAATAACTTATTAAATACTTAATATTATAATATTTTTAAATGTTTTAAAAAAGGAATTTAAAAACAACTTTTATTTTATTTTTAGTTTCCTTTTATTTAAATTTTTTCAAGTTTATACATTTTTTTTTAATTGAATTGACAAAAATTTAATATTTTGTATTAAAGGATAACGGTCACAAGGTTATTGTATATTAGTTATCATTAACTTGCCCATGAAAAATTGTTTTGAATTAATAAAAAATTGATAAAGTTCAATAAGCATCTTTGATATATCTAATTATTATATATCTTATTAACTAGAATAAAAGTTATTTGAGAATAAAACTTCCTTATAATTTAACCATTTATTTCTAAAAACAAGTCCTTTATATCTAGAATTTCTCTTAAAAAAAAAATTTAAGAAAAAAAAGTTGGAGAGGGGAAAGAGGTGGGGGGGCACTTCCTACTAGTATTGTCGGCCCTGTTATTTAACATACCTCTTAAATTAGACGTTTGTCAATAAATAAAAAAACGAAGGTCAACATTTATTAAAAAAAAAACAATTTGTCACACCCTGGAGCTAGATGTACTTATGTATAATGAAACAAGATTATTTATACTAACCTATGAAATAATTTAATTAATTTTAACTTGCTAAAGTTACGTTCTGCACTTTCAACAGTAACTGGTAAAGTAAGTATGATTCGTAACGCAAAAACTAGATTGGGATAAGTTTCTAGCAACTCTTCTTTGTAGATGTAGTTTAGGAAGCCATGTGGAGATTTTAGGAGAGTATTACATATAATCCTCAGAATCTATATCACCAAACTTCATTTGCAATATACAGACAGAATTTTCATTACAGGCTTTGATAAGACTCTCAGATCGGTAAAGAAAGTCATAAAGCTTTGTGACAATGCTGATCTGTTAAAAATGCTCTTTTACTGATGCAATTGATATATCAATTTTATCAGTGGTGTGATAATAGTGGGAAAACAAAATCTGCTTTATACTGATGTTGAAGTTTCCAAGTGTGATCAACATACTCCTATGAATAAATCAATTTTTTTTCGTGAACACACTATTAGAAAAACCTTTTCAATCCCCAATACTTCTCTGATTTCTGATGCCTTAATATATATGTCAAAAAATCCATTTTCTCTATACTCATAAAGAAATGCATTTGTTGCCTTTATTCGACTACCAAAATTGTCAAGAGATGTCATACCAAATAATGATTGATAATAAATATTATAACAAAAAAATAATTCTAGCTAATATGTCAAGAGATGTCATACCAAATAATGATTGATAATAAGAAAGACCATGTTCTAATATATTCCATCAGCAATGGTACTTCTGTGGCTGTTGCCTCTCTTTTATTAAGCATGTTCTTCCAATCTTTTAAATGTCTCTAAGATTTCTTTTAAATAATAACCAAGTGGTTTAACACAGTTTATTCTACTTTCCCATCTGATATCTGATTGTGGTTTGACAGAAATCGCCTCACACGATTTTAAAATTTCCCATCGAGGAGGAGATGATAAAAAAAGTGTATATATCAGGCTAGGTCGGGAAGCAGGAGCGATTGCTCTCAAATACTGACCATGGAAAAAATATTTAGTTGCAAAAAACTGGCCAGGTTTTTTAGTTATTTTGAGAACATTTAAGTTTAAGTACCTAACAAAAAAATTTTGTTTTACAGACATACATTGAAACATAATAAACTTGATTATTCTCAAAACATCTTGATGCGGAAGAATAAAAAGAATATTTGCGAACACTAAAAACCCGCTAAATTAACAAACAAACTAATTCTATTGGTTCAAAAAATATGCTGACTAAGCGAATTAAAGTTCTAGAGTATTCTGCTGAAATGCTTTAGAAATTGTATTCACAACTTGTTAGGTTTTGAGATTTCTAGCATAAATTGTTTTAAGAATGTATAATCAATACTATGGCTCATTTACGACAGGGCTGCCGAAAGGGGAGGGGGGCACCGCGACATTTTGTCCTGGGCGGCAGAGTCCTTCATATATAATTTAGGAAAAATTTAATAAATAAGGACACCAATCAGGATTGCTGTCCCAGGCAGCGAGACAGCTCTCGACAGCCCTGATTCTCGGAGCCACATCTGCAAAGCTGTAAATCTTTTAAACTATTATTATTTGTTTACAAAAATAAATGTTTTATAATATATATTTTTTAAATCGTCACAATTTTGAAAGTTTATTATAAATTATAGATTTTATTACTACATTCTTATTTTTTATTTAAAAAGTGAAAAAAAAATATTTTTTATGTAAATGTAATTTTGTGCATCTGTTTTTTATCATAAGGTAATCTTTTAAGCTATTTTTATGATTTAATTTGTTTTTGTAATTAACTTACAAAAATATTGTGTTTTTAATGAAGTTATTAATAATCATTAAAGTTAATAAAACTAATTATGTAACAAATATAAAAGAGGTTTCTGGTTATTAAACACAAACAATGCATACAAAGTAACTCGCAGATGAACAAGCACCGCGCCTGAGGTCACGACAGAACACAAATATATATAGCAAGTTATTAGATATAAACAAAAGCTTCTAGATAGTGGTTTAATAACTCTAATTATATTCGCTTCAGTTGCCATTCTTAAAAACTCTTACTTTTTTCTGCTTTAAATACTAATTAAAATTAAAAAGCCCACTCACTAAACATCATCAGCAATATTGAGAAGCAGTTTCGCTTCCTCGTCATAAAGTATTTTTAATCTTTTTAGTTGATTTTTTTCTAGTTAATTTAATTTCTATAGTAATTCAAAGATTTAGTTATTTCATTTGTTCATCTTACTAAGAGAAATTGTTTCAAATATGTTAAACTTTTCAAACTATGCGAAGCATGAAATAGGTATTAAAAAAATTAACTTTTTTATTTATAAAATAATTTAGCTTAGATAAAACTAAAACTTGCATTAGTTTTATTAGAATCTTGTTAGACTATTCGGGGCGGAAGGCTATTTTTATTTTGGGTGCCTTTGTATTTTTATTTTGGATGCTTTTGTAAAAAGGTCTTCTTGACTTTTTTGGTGCCCTAACATTGCAGGGTTGGGGCTATAGCCCCCTCTAAACCCAACCCTCCTTAATCTAGCACTGGAAATAAGACATGAGTATATAAATAAAAATTATATTACACTCTTTGTTAAATAAAGAATTTTTGTTTCCTTTTTAAACAATCGTAAAATGTTACTTTATATAAAAAGCGTCGCTTAATTTTATAAAAAAAATTATAAAAGAGCAATGTTTGGAAAATATTTGTTCTAAATGTAAATTATTTTGCTTTAAGTTTTTTCCTGTTAAAAGATATTTTATTTTCTTAATTTTTTTTTTTTGTAACTGTCTCTCATCAGTCTAATTAATCTTCAGCACATTTTTTTTTTTGCTTTTTCAAATGTTCTCAAAACGACTATAAAATTTGGCCAGCATTTTGCAACTAAATATAATTTCTGTGGTCAGCAATCAAGAGCGATCACTCGCGCTTCCCGACCAAGCCTGATATATACACTACATATATATATATATATATATTGTATATATATATATATATATATATATATATATATATATATATATATATATATATATATATATATATATATATATATATATATATATATGTGTGTGTGTGTGTGTGTATTTACATATATATACATATACTCTTCATCCTCTATATTAATAGTAAACATAAAAAAATATATAATATCATCATTAGCTGTGTATACAGGCATCCAACCATGTCGTTTGATGACTTTAACGCATTCAATCCTAATTCAGTTCTAATAAAACTGTCTAAAGAAAACATTATATCCTTGGAGACTTTAACTTTATAACTTTGTAAAAATTTTATTATAAAAATCAGTCCCAATCTGTAATACAGATTGATCCATCCTTTGTAATATATATATATATATATACTCTTCATCCTCTATATTAATGACCTACCGGATAACATAGCTTACCACATCGAGATATATGCCGATGACAGCAAAATACTGGGTGTAATCAAAACAGAGGAGGACAAAGCATGTCTCCAGTTAGATATTGATAACGCTGTAGAATGGTCTAAAAAGTGGCAAATTAACTACATACAATTTAACTTGGACAAATGCAAATGCATGCACATAGGTTGCTCCAACAAATCAGTCTACGTTTACACAATGACTGATCAGATGGGAATAGAACAAGAACTGGATACGACTTCAGTCGAATGAGATCTAGGTGTTCTTATTTCAAAAGACTTAAAAATCAAGCATCAAGTTGAAGCAGCGTCTGCAAGAGCAAACCAGGTACTTGGTCGGCTTGAGAAATCCTTCAGAAGCCGAGGTCTCACACTTTAGAAAGTCCTTTACAAACCGTATGTTAAACCACATCTTGAATTTGCCAACCAAATCGTGGTCACCATATCTGAAGGGAGACATCAAGACTCTCAAAAGCATTCAAAAACGTGTGACAAAGCTGATCACAGACATCAAACATAAACCATATGAAGACTTACGATTCTAGGACTAACCAAACTAGAAGATAGATGAGTTAGAAATGATTTAATTCAGCAATATAAGATTGTGCATGATGTTGAGAAAATCGAATTTGTTGTGCCTTAAGTCTATGCGCAAACGCTTTCCCAGTATAACATTTGTGGCAATTGCTTAAGACTTACTAAGCCGATAATCAAGAACTGTGTCGAAAGAGAAAAGTTCTTCACAAACCACATAGTCAACGCATGGAATGCTTTACCATCAAACGCTGTTAACGCCTTTTCAACTGACGCATTCAAAAGTTGATTCGACGCATTAACAGTATAAGTATAGACATATTGTGTGTTCGATATTTGTCAGCATAAAGGTGTCTGGTGCTGCATTTCTTCATTGATATATTATAATTTTTATCCTTCAAGGACTAAAATTGTTATAAATATTATTGATTTCTGAATAAACAAATTAAATTTTATATATATATATATATATATATATATATATATATATATATATATATATATATATATATATATATATATATATATATATATATATATATATATATATATATATATCATTAAAAGAACACCAAAAAAAGAAATTGCACTGATGGATGATAGTGCACCATCACCAATAACAAGATTAAGTGAATGGTTTGCACAAGGAACATATAAGGCCTTAGGATTCATTTACAGAAACCTAGCTTAAACTACTTTTACTTTTCCTTTCTTATTAGCACCATTAACATAAGATTAACTTCAACAGTCTAAAATATTTAGATCCTAATTTTTTGCTTTATTTAAAAATGCATCCGAAAGGCCTTTTCCAGTGGTATTATTTACTGTGAGATATCCATAGAAATTTTTGGAAATGTCAATACCTACTCCAGAAGTACATGATACTGATCGCAGAATAATTTCTTTGTATAAAACGTCTGGCGTATAATCTTAAATAATAAAATGGAATAGTGAAAAAGTTATCCCAAAAAGTTTGCAACAAAAACAAAACATTTTACTGCTATTCAAAGAATATATGAGCCATGTCCGTTCAAAGATTTCTCCGTTTTTCATTTTGTGGTTATAATAATTCAATGAAAATCGTCTTCTTTTTAAATTGTATGGAAAATCAATTTCAATTTTGAAACCATATTTAACAATCTCACACCTCTGTGCGTCAGAAACATCATCAGGTGTATCAGAAGGATCATCACTGAGAAAAATAAGCGGCATTGTTATGCCATTTGATGTAGACTCACAAATCAACCTATCTGACTCTACTCTAGTATTCAAATAATGACAATCAAAATTATTTGTATTTTCTGTTGGTATCAAAACACTTACATACTGGTTTCAAAAAATGTGATATTTTGGGATAATTTGTGATTTCCTCCTTGGCTGCAACTTTTTCTCTTCTCTTAGTGGCACCACTTTTCACTTTTTTTTATACCAATAATTATATTGTAAAAAATTAACAACAAAAGATAATTATAAATTTTTAACAAACCTTCTTTCGTTGTTTGTTTTTTATGATATAAAAAACTAACAACGCATAATAATTAAAAAAAAAAATCAATTCAAAATTGCAAAATAAAAGTCGTTATGATTATAGACTTATAATCATATGGATTTTAAAAGAAACAAATGTAAAGCGTTACAGTTTTCCAATGCTTTACATTTGTTTCTTTAAAAACAATGCCTATGATTTAATTAAAATAAATAATATGCTTTTTATTTCATAGTACTAGAGCAAAAGAAATAGCATAAAGCATAGTAATATAACGATTTATAATTTATATATAAATAACCTTGAAATATGTAATCTAAATACAAACAATAATATATTTGCATATAATTATAAAGCGACTTGGAGAAATATATTTTTTCACACAATATGCTGTTGTTTAATGGTTTCTCACTAACAATTTGACAGATTTTTATAAAGTTTGGTTTTTATAATAGAATTCGAACTTAGGGACAATTTTTTTAACATTTAAACAATTTTTTTTTTGCATTAAAAATTTTATTGCTTTTTTACACTTGCCAAAATAATATATTTTATTAATAGTAATAGTAACAATATATATTATAAAAATTTATTATAAAAAAAATTCATTATAAAAATTTATTATAAAAAAATTTATTATAAAAAATACAAAAATAATTTTTTTAAACTTTTGATAAGGGCCGCTGAAAATGCAAAATCCCCCCCACACACACATCCCTGCCCAATAGGTGGGGGGGTGTGGAGAAGCCTAGCCACGGTTCTGACTAACAAACATTGGCAAATAGTTAGGGAGCGTTATCGCACAAAGTAGTTTTACATATTAAAAAAAAATTAAAATTTATGTTAAAGTTAATATAGTTATAATAGTTAAAGTTAATATTAATTTAATATAATTTATGTTAAATTTAGAAATAGAAGATACTGACTAAATCTCTTTTTCATTTTGTAATGGTTTTGCATATCCTACAAATCTCCATTTAAAGTTTCAACCTTAACAATACCAATGTTTCAAAAAAAGTATTATAACAATTTTAAAAGTGTGTTAAAAACAATGACTTTTTAAAAGAGTTAAAGAAAATGTATTTGTTAATGGACAGGAAGTATAAAACAGTCAAGTTTAAGACTGTCTTCTATATCGTTAATGTCATTTTAAAAATAATACAAAAAATTGACTTACAAAGTGTACATATATAGTATAACACTAGGTTTCATATTTCCCACTAATTCATAAATTTTCACTTTTTTCTGAGAAAGACTTCTAGAACTGCTAGTTCTGGAAGCCTTTCTTTTATAAAAATACCATATCAGTGGTTTCTTTTTTAAAGGACTTTTAATGTCAACAATGAGCAATACTTTGAAATTTGTATGACCATTGAAAAAATAGTTCAATGTTTTCTCACATTGAAAAAATATTGAACTATTTTTGAATTTATTTTTATTTGAATTATCTTGAATTTAAGCTTAACTAAATTGATTTTTATGGGTGACATTATGGGTAACATTTAAGTAAATTTAAGACATGACCTTAGTTCAGCATTTACTTAAGGTATTTATTTATGTTATTAAAGTCTTATAAACATGAATAAAATTGTTGTATTGTTTAAATTGTAATATTTTAATGCCAAATATCACATATGGTGTTTCACTGTTCTAATATGAATCTTGCAATATAACAGTAACAATAGTAGTGAAGTAGTAGAGAAATGTGAAGTAGTAGAGAAATGTGAAGTAGTAGACGAGAGGACAGATTTTAAACCCTTTTTTATCTTTTGTAGCACTCAAAAAAATGCATTCTTATACTAAAAATATTTCAGCAAAAACTTTTTCAATAAAATTAATAAAAAAATATCAAGTTTTATGTGGATCTGTTTGATGTATACTATATTCACATGGATATACATATATAAACAAATAAAGATACATATATTTATATGTTGTATGTATGTTACATACATACATATATAAAAAATATACATACATGCATACATAGTATGCATGTATGTATACTATTATACTTATTTACATGCATACATACTTATTTACATGCATACTAGTATGCATGTAAATAAGTATGTATTTATATATGGATGTATGCATGATAAATATCTGTGTGTGTGTGTGTTTGTGTGTGTGTGTGTGTGTGTGTGTGTGTGTGTGTGTGTCTGTGTCTGTGTCTGTGTGTGTGTGTGTGTGCGTGTGTGTGTGTGTGTGTGTGTGTGTGTGTGTGTGTGTGTGTGTGTGTGTGTGTGTGTGTGTGTGTGTGTGTGTGTGTGTGTGTGTGTGTGTGAGCACTAAACAAAAACAAACCCATCAAAGAATTTTTCAGGTGAAGATTTCAGGTGATGAGAAACAATTACAACTGATGCCATATTGACTTGTATTCTTTTATATTTAACTAAAAAATAATTTTAAAAAAATTAAATATGACTGTTACTTATTGTGCATTTTTATTTGAAATGTGTGTGTGCCTGTGTTTAATGATTTTTATACTCCAGCTCAAAACAACAATAAAGAATATAAATCGAAATGAAGTACAAAATTATAATTTTGCTAAGTTACATCTTTATTTTTTAATGTATGAAAACTCTGACGGCTTTTAAGTCATGGAAAACTCTCTTGAGCAATGATTGTCATTAACTTTTTTCTTTTTTCATTTTTAATCTTTTACATTAAAATTTGTTTTAGAATGTACCGTTAGCAAATTTTAAAAATAAATTCTTCGTCAAAATAACTTTAATTTCATTGGATGTTAATGTTATCTTTATTTTTTCAAATTTTCATCAAATCATTCATCTTTCAATCTTAAATTGATATGCTTATTGTTAGATAAGATCAAAATTGTAAGATAATAGCATAAAGAATTAATTCTTGGTGTCTGATAAACACGCGCGTATCGATAAAATGTTTCGACAAAACTCGTGCGAGGTTCGCACAACACTCAACGAAGCAACCAAATAAAAACCAGTTATTTTTTTACCAAATAAAATAACTGGTTTTAAATTTTAACGAACCTTATCAGTGAAACCATAGGTTACGGTTTCATTAAAATGTGTTACTAAAATAATGGCAGTGTTGTGAAATATTTGCCACGAATAATGAATTTGTCTTTGCTTTTTTTTTTAAACAAACATTATTATATAATTCAATAAAAAAGTGTTTACAATCTTGGATATATATGAATCAGTTTTTTTTAAGGGGCGAATTTGCTCCAAACTTCTTAAGCAAATCTGCCCTTTTAAAAAACACTGATTCATAAATGTGTACAGAATCACTCAAAAAAGTTATAACACCACATATAACTATAATAAATGAAGAAAGTTAAAAATACTGTTGAGCGCATATATATATCGCGAGGTTAGAATTATTTTGTTCTATCTCCACTTTTTGAAAAAAATGAGTTATTAATTGTGTAATGTACCTCAAAATAATATTTTTCTACTATATTAAAACCTAAGTTAAAATCAAAAAAGTTTCGGAGAAAACATAAGTAATAAAAATCTTTTTATATGCCGTCTCCTAAAGTTTTTATTTTTTAAATCGTTTTATCTCGAAACAAAAAAATGTGGAGATAGAACAAAATAATTCTAACCTCGCGATATATATATATATATATATGTATATATATATATGTATATATATATATATATATATATATATATATATATATATATATATATATATATATATATATATATATATATATATATATATATATATATATATATATATATATGTATGTATGTATCAGAGCCATAACCACTGGGGGAGGGGGCCAAGGGCCTAGAACCCCCTACCCCAAAAAAATGATTATATATAATTATTATGAAAAAACATATATTCTTTCTCTTTCTATCTCTAGGCCCCTAAAACGGGTACCTAAAAAAAAAAGGTCTATGTAATATGGGCCCCCCTAATATAAAAATTGTGATTACAGCTCTGATATATATATATATATATATATATATATATATATATATATATATATATATATATATATATATATATATATATATATATATATATATATATATATATAAAACTGCATATTTTTCACAACTATAAGTTCCATGCTAAATGCAATCATCAGGTGTAAAAATGATTGCATTTAGTATAAAACTTATAGTTGTGAAAAATATGCAGTTTTATTTATAAGTAATATATGTAAATACAGCTCTGTTTTTATTTAAATCATTTTAACTTATTTTAGTTCATCGAGCACTCTCGCGAAGATATATGCAAGCACTAATACGTATACATACATAGTATTGAAGGTTTCTTTCGTAGTATTGAAGATTTCTCTTAAGCAATTTTGTTGCTTTACGTTGAACAGATTCAACCAAAGCTACGTCAGTTTTTAAATACGAACAGACGCTGCATATTCAAGGTGTGATCTTATAAACACTTTATATAATTTGAGAGCCATTTTTTCATCAATGATGGTGAATGTCTTTTTTAGGATATCTAGAATTTATGAAGAATTAGAGGCAACTGATTGAATGAGTGTGCTCCACTTGAGATTAGATGTAAAAATGACTCCTAAATCGAGCTCTTTAGTAGAGTTTCTTAGGCTTTCATTTATACCTTGGTTATTTTGCAAAAAGTAACTATAAATAGGATTGGTTTTACTATAATGAATAACACAGCATTTTGAATTGTTAAATTTAAGTAACCAAGTGTTTGATAACTCGTATATTAAGCGTAAATGATCCTGCAAATCAACAAAATTAGTCTGCAATAAAGTATTAGAAAAACTTTTTTCTTCAGGAAAAAGTTTTTGATTTCAGATGTTTCAGTAGGTTGGGCAAGATCGTTTATAAAAAGAGGAGCGGGCTGAGAACAGAACCTTGAGGAACAGCACTAAGAACATTAACCCAGACAAAGCTAGTATTGTTAATTGTAACGCGTTGCTTTCTACCTACTAAAAAGTAATTAACCCATTGTAGTAGTTAGCTGTTTATTCCCAATAATTTTAATTTTAACATAAATCTGTTGTGAGGCACGGAATCAAAATCTTTAGCAAAGTCGAGGTAGATTACATCTATAAATTGGTGTGATGCTAGGGAAGACGAAATGATATCAAAAGGCTCTATTAGATTGGTTACGCAAGATTTATGATGAAGGAAGCCGTGTTGATTTGTAGAAAGCAAATCTTTCTTTTATATAAAAGACCTTTTAAGAGGATAGTGAAATTGGTCGATAGTTTTCAGGAAGTAGTTTGTCTCCTTTTTTTACAGACCGGAATAATATTTGCTAATTTCTAGAGAGTTGGTACTATTCCAGAATTAAAAGGTTCATAGAAAATATTTGTAAGTGGAATTACAAAGTTTTTGGCACATATCTTAAGTATTAGAGGGTGGAAGCCGTCAGGTTCAAAAGATTTGTAAAGGTTTAGATTGATAAGTTCATTAATAATGTCTGCAAGAGAGAAATCCAAGTTATTATTATAATTGTATTTACTTTTAAATTCACTTTTATTTAACAATGGAAAATTTTCGGAACTTTTAAGAGTAAACATAGAATTGAATTGAGAGTTCAGAAGTTCAAATATATCGAGAAAAGTTTCAGTAATTCTTTCTGAAGCATTTTTGAGAGAAAGAATTTTATCTTTAATTTTTAGTTGGTTGTTAATGTATTGGTAGACGAGTTTTGGCTTGTTCTGAGATTTTGATATTATTTCTTTTTCATGTAATATTTTTGCTTTAAATATTTCAGCTTTATAAAGCTGAAATATTTAAAAAATTATAATCGTCTTAATTGTTCCGTTATAACGGAACAATTAAGACGATTATAATTTGTTTTGAGATTTTTATTCTTCTATTAAGTTGAGCCGTTGATGTGCCAGGCCAGGTTTTGTTGTTCTTAATAAGCTTTTAATATGTGGAGTAACCCAAGAATCATACTTTTTTTTTAATCTTGGGGATAAAAAATTCGAAAGCAGTACGTTTATAAGAAATTAATATATCGAACATTTGGTCCGCATTTTTGTTTATTGATGCAATAAAGTTTGATATTGAATTATAATCACCTTTGTTGTAACTAAACAATTAAGATTCATTTTTGGGTAGTGGTTCTGAAACTAAGATTCTCCAAGTAATACTAAAGTGACCCTCGGTGTTATTACCTAATATAGCATTAGGATACAAATTTAAAATAGAATTATTGTTGTAGGTAAATAGTAAGTCAAACATATTTTTTGAGAAATCATAAGTTGTCTGAAAGTAGTTAAATGTTCCAAAATTCTCGTTAGAATTGATTAAAAGATTTAATACCATTATTAGACGACTTCATATTCAAAGATTAAAATCACCAACGATCAAACAGTTATCGTAAGGCTATAGTTGAAGGGGTATAGTTGAAGGAAAACTCGCAGAAGACATATATATAGACACGTATTATATATATACTTCATTATAACTCTTTTGTAACCACTCTTTTTTCCTGACATAACGTTACAATTTACGGTGGTGGTTTGTAAGTCTAGCTAAAATGACAGTTGAGCTACTTTTAAATGTAAAGATGTTTAAAAAGCTTGTGGAAGCTTAATAATTACTACCACAAAAACAGACAACACGATACTCTTTTAGCTGTAAAGGATATAAAAATTCAAATAGCTCACAAAATTTTACTGAACCACCTCCGTGTGTAAATAGTACCTGCGCAGTTGTTATTAGGAACTGTTAAAATGTAGTAACTTTTCATTTATTGTTATCATTGAATCAAAACGTTTACTAGTAAAAATCGCATTCACGGCACAGTACAAAATTTTTTTTTTTTACTTTAAATATTGGGTGGTTGGGGTAGTCGGTAAAATGACTGCAATCGGTAAAATAAGAACTTTTTTGCAAACTATGGCCTATTGGTTGTTAATTATGTCATATTTTATTTTCCATTTACTGTTAACTTGTTTTTTAACGATATATTTTTAAGGACTTCAATTTTATTGATTTATACATTAAAAGAATTATTGATTTAAATATATTGATTATAAGATTATTGAATTAAATATTCTTCTGAAATGGATAACCAATTTTATAGTTTCGCTGTAGCATTTTACCGGCTGTCGGTGGTTTTGACTCTAAGTTTTTTTAAAAGGGTGATTTGCACAACACTTCTTGAGCAAATCTGCCCCTCTAAAAAACACCGATTCAATTAAAGTCAAAAATAAATGTTTCTATGCATTATTTTTCAAAGAAAAATAGAACGGATTTTGAAAAATTAAATTTCATAATTTTAGCATCAAAATTTACGCAAAAAATTTAATAGCGTTTTAATTAGATGAGAGTCGCTAATAGGTTACCGGTGACGTCAAATTGTTTGTTTGTCCGAATATCAACCCCACAACCACTGGCGTTTTTAAGAAATTCTTTTGTTTCTGTGCAATGTTTGTCCTCATTTCGATCCCAGAAAGGTTTGC